GTAAATACTTAATTTGAATTAAAAGATATTTTCTAATGGTTCAAATTTATGAATACTTGTAGACTACTTTTAAATAAATTAATCATTCATTGTTGAGTAATTATGAAATACTTCTATTTAAATTAAATGCTGATAATTCACTTTAGAATTACAATGAAATCTTCAAATCATGCACTGAAGTCTGCGAACGTGATTATCCTGATAATTTGGCATTAAGTAGAGAAGCCTTTATCAACCTAGATCTAGTGTTTCTGGTCACTTGTTGGTAAGGTGATATTTGTAGCTTTCAGGGAATTGATGTTCTCAGACAGATTCAAATCTATATCACTTGATTCCACATTCTCAAATGTTCTCAGTGTGATCTTTTGTTTTACGGCTATTGACCTTGTACAAGACTAATGTAGTTACATTTGAGTAATCACTGAGTTATATGATTATTATATATCAAATTGAGTTACTTAAACTATTGGTCATACTGTGATGCTGTGGCGCGAGCTACTTATAAGTAGTATATGAAGTGAGTGTAAACGTAATGTCTGGCAGCCGAAGATGGGGGGAAGATCAAGAAAGGAAGAGTTAGAAAACAATGGAATTTGTATGAAACGCATGAATAGTGGCAATGGATTGATGTTTTGCAAGAGGAACAGTCCAGTTCGATATGATGAACTGATATTTTGCAAATTAACGATTTACGATATGGTTTTCCGATTTTACTGAGTAACTCCGTAATTTTCGTTAAATACAATTCAGTTGCTCCACCTGTGTTCTCCTTCACTACAATACTACAACTTGATCGAAAGAGTTTGATCAGAAACAAAAAGGACTAAATAAACAAAGCCAGTAACTACGTGATGATTAATCAATATTCCTGATTTATCAAATACCGTTTATTTGTGAATCTTGGAGAGTGATTATCAATGGAATGTAAGGTGCGCGTTTCGACCTACTTGTAACCCGTCAGATAGAGAGAAACATGAGTCCTGGATTGTACTATTAGCCACTACTCAACTCTACTAGTAATGTTTGTAACCTAAAGATAATATCAACGCAATACACGAAGGATGCATACGACTGATCAAACAATGGGAAGATTTAAACAACTAATACAATTGAGTAAATTAATTGCAATTATAACAATCAGCTATCACGATATATATATATATATATTTATATATATATGTCATTGCTTAGTTTAATAGTTAAATTGAACTTTTATGTCTCCATCTTGATTAAAATTGAGTTATAATTTCAATGTAATATACATTTGACGACATAAATGTCTGGTAGATATGTTTATTTAACCATTATTCAATTGTCAGTATTAATATTGTTATTCTAATAGAAAAATTTTTTTCTGGCTACAAAATTCCTTTTTTTTTTAAAATAAGTAAATAATTTTATTTGTCAATGAAAAAAATAAATTTGCCAATTGTTTACAATATGTCTGTTTGTTTTTCAATGTGGTTTTTGTAAATACGATCAATGTTTTTTCTTCTCTCGTTTATATTAGCATTGTTATTAAATATTTGTAAATTTTAAGTAGTAGTAGTAGTAGTAGTAGTACAGTAAAGCGAAAGTTGAAACGAATAAATCATTTTACTCGAAAATGCAAAGCTCCAATTGTATGGAGCCATTTTTGTCATTAGTTTTAGAAATTAATTTTATTCCATCATAAATTGAAATGGGAGTATAATTTTTAATGAAAAAAAGTGGATACATATACTCGTCAAAAATTATTGACATGATAGTAGTGTGAACTATTGAATTCAACGGATTAGTCCGTTAAATCTTAGTATTTCTGTGTTAAGGGAATATCTTTCAAGAAACCAATTCAAGTAACATACGTAATGGGTACGATTAGAAAGATCACACGTTGTCTCAAAGTTACATAATTATGAGTGGGCTGTGATGAACAAGTGAATGATTCATTTGGTGGTCACCACCACCTAGATGTTTTAGAGCATTAGCTGCAAGTATTCATCATTTTGCTTTAAGCAATAAAATATACTATGCTGTTTAAATCTTATACCTCTAATTAGATTAGATAAGTTCTACTTAAGAAGTGAGCTTAAAAACCTATGACGAATTTTCATGTGATTTTTAATCAATCAGAAAATAGCTTTTATAAATGGATAATTTCCAAAAAAGAAAACAATCATATTATAAAAAGCACAAACTGATTTTTACACGATTAGTAAGTTTATTCATATCCTCTACCGTTAACACTACCTGAAAATTGAAAAATCAATGGTAAATAGGCTTGACATAATAGATAGATATAGATTGTCCATCTTCTCAAACACTTATAAGGATCCATGTAAGTATTAGAAATTGTTCCCAGTTAGGATTAAGCACTCGGAGGGCGGTTAAAAGTTAGATTTCTTATCACGAACTGACATGATCTATCATATGCAGCTGATATGTAGTCTTACGGATAAGTGAATTTCGAACAAAAATAGAAAGATTTAACATATGACTAGTTCGTGAATAAAATACAAAGTCATCAAATTTAGTTTCATCTGTATAGACTCAAGTGTTATTTACAATCTAGCAAGACAGTATTAGACAATTTTTTATACGTTCACTATTAAATGATTTCAGAATAAATTTTCTGTTACCTTTTTAACAGTCTTCAGCAGTGTACAAAAGTATTTCCGCTGTTAGTTATACATGAAATTTGAATTAGGCAAAAAAATAAAAGTCGAGTCCTTAACTCAGACTGGTTTCCTTCAAAAGCATACTTCACATAAATTCTATAAGTCAGTCACAACGTACAACTGTGGACATAACGTGAGTCGTGAACCATACAGTAATGAACAGAAGCTTTGTTCAAAGTTTAGGAATTCATTCACTAACATGAATCCACGCTTCCTAAACTGGATCGAACTCAGGATGGAGAAGTAGAAGTATAGGTGGTCAGTCAGTCAGTTACAACGTAGAACTTCGTACGTACATCAGTTCAAGTTAACATATCCCATCAGCACAGAGATGAGATTCAAATCTCATACTAGTAGAGGAATTAGAAGTATTAGCAGTAATAAAAAATATTAATGATCGAATATACCATTTGATATGTATAACCCAGAGGAATCGATTAAAAAAGAGAAGAAACGACAATGAGGAATTCAGGTTTGAATTTGAGAAAACACAGAGAGTGGATGCACCTGCGGCATTACAAACGATTTTGAGCCACATTGTTCAAGAGCTATAACCATAGGTTACTATCTTCTCGAGGACAACAACCACGTAGCTTACATCTACCAAAATTACTGAGTTCACTTTTTAGTGACTTCATGGATTTCTGTCAAGTTTTGGTCAGCCCGCCCCTAGCTTTCGTCCAACCTACTGCTACACTGCAAAACATAGCTCGTCGCGGCAGTCGGTGGTCAGCCAACCACCTGAACTGATGAAGTCTCACTACTTCATCTATTGATTTGCCATCCCTAACTGGTATCCGTTTCTTAACAACTGCATTGTTTACTCGGTTGTCCCACGATACTCGAGCAATGCTTCTGATACATCTATGATCGAGAACGAGCAACCTACGAATATCCGCTACTGTGACTGGCCATGTTTCACAGCCATAAAGTAGGACGGAACGAACTACCACACTGTACACTCGTCCTTTGGTTAGCAGGCAGATATCTCGCCTACGCCATAAGTGACGCAGGTTGGCAGAAGCCAGTTGAGCCTTCTGTATCCGTGCCGAGATTTTGTCAGTCACCAGGCCATCAGTACTGATGAGACGCCCAAGATAAGTAAGGTGGTCAACACGCTCAACTGCTTCACTCCCGATCACTAGTTTATGTGCCGATGCAATCTAATCTTGGAGCAATATTTCGCATTCCGGCGGGGAGAATCGCATACCGATCATGCTTGCATTGTTACTTATGGTAGTCAGAAGACTGCATTTTTTCAGCGTCTTCGCCAAGTTGTATGGCGAAAAGAAAGTTTTTGTATTATATACATTATTTAAAAATGCAAGTCAGATTAAATTTTATACTTTTTCCCGTACGTTAATGCTTTAGAATAGACACGTTTCTATAATCTTCTGTGACCGGTTTAAAGGATGCTGCTATCTCTGTGAATTTCTTTTCTCCAATGATATTCGTTGTGTCGTACACGTTGAATTGTTTATCTTATCCGAATCATATTTAGAAGTTGATCGGAGAAATTGTAGTTATACAATATGATGTGGTCCCTTGATGAAGCTGTTCGATCTTTCACCATACTGACCAATAGTTTTTGAAAATCTACTTTAGCGTTATCTGGAATATGATAATGTTCAATTGGTTATTGATCGATTCATAATTTCAAAGTAACTCAACAATTTCCACAGCCCTATAATGCATATTTTGTGATAGTATCAGACTTCATATAGACAGCGTGATCTACATTTTATTGTCAATATTCTGTACATCTGCAAATCTTGTTGTCACTAAACATTTTCTCTTGTCTAAAGGTTAAATCACTGTGTCAAAAATTCATTGCCTTTGTTACTTCTAACGAATTCGAATTTCATTCAAATTAGTTACAAAAAAAATGTGATATCAAAACTATTCGACCGTTCGCACGCGAGGTCAAACGTTCATGATTCATGCGTGTGCGGGGTTTTGAATGTGAACTACTGAAGAGTCCCATACCAAAATGAAACAGTTATCAAATGCTTCTATGTTTTTAATAGTTATCTATATTGGATCGGCTCATGATTTTAATGAAATTCAACTTTCTTTACAACCTTGAAAGTCTTCAGTGTATCGACTTGATGATATTTCGAGATGGCACTGCTGAATGCATTTTTTTTATCTATCCTGTAATTAAACTGATCGCCTAGTCCAAAACAGTATGCTCTTTAACACAAAGGTTGATAAGTATCCCTATCATGTTACCGTCAGCTGTGCATACAAATTCACGTGTTTAAAGACGCATTTAGATTGATAGAACAAAACGAAGAGCCAATATCAGATTCAACGAACATTTTACGAAAATTCTAAAGTCGAGTGAATCAGAAGCATTTATTGAAACCAGACTTATGTATCTAAAAAGAAACAAATTTTATTCTTTTTCACGATATTTAAAATAGAAAATAATCATGCATTAGTACATCAAATCTAAACTTGAAATTCATTTCACCAAACTTAAATTTTAAAGACAAAAGAAAAACAGATAAGAGACAATAAAATCAATTATAATCATCTTTTAATTTACGAGGTAGACCAGATAATGAACTTGTGAATGCAGGCTTACGTTTACGTGCACCAACATTAACTGTACTAGTAGGTGTAGCTGAACTGACAGTAGTAGTAGTAGTAGTAGTAGTAGTAGTAGTAGTAGTAGTAGTAGTAGTAGTAGCAGTAGTAGCAGTAAGAGCGGATATTGGTATTGATGACAGTTTTGGCGTTTTACACGTGATATTACCACTAGTTGTAGTTCTTCCGAAAGATTGAAATTGAATTGGATTTGATATAGTTGAAAGTGAATAATGTGTCAATGATGAAACAGAACATTCATTATTATTATTATTATTATTATTGTCATCCTTTGTAATCACTGTGATATCTTTTGACAAAATATTTTCATCAGATTGTACCATATTATATGATATTGTAGGATTTGTTGACATATTCACACAAGGCGAATTAGTTGATATTGTCAAATTTGTAATCATAGAATTAGAAGATGATATAGTTGTGCATAATATTGATGATGATGTTAGTGAAGGACCGAAAATAGTACTTGTATTATTACTATTATTATTGATAGTAGTATTAGTAGTAGTCGAACAATTTATACATAACCATTGTTGTTTAGGTGTTGACATTAAAATCAATGGTTGATGACATAATTGATGATATAATGAACCACAGTGAATACATTCTACTAATACATTTGCATTCATTGTTTTATTATCAGGTTCTAATTGTGGTTGTTGCGAAAGACGACCACATAAACGACAAACAAGATCTGCAACTAAACTTGCAGCCAATAAACGTGCAGTATCAGTGTTATTATTATTATTATTACTATTTAAACTAGAATTATCTTGACTTGATTTTGTCAACGCATTAACAACAGTAACAACAGGAGAAGTGGATAATGATGATGACTGCAGTGATGTTGATGATACTGTAGAAACATAAGTAGGAGTAAAAGTAGTGGTAGTTGTTGTTGATGTTGTTGTAGCGTTAACAGTATCAAGATTCATTGCTTGTGCAGTGGACAGTTCTTTATCTTCAATTAAAGGTAAAGTAACAGAGGCAGTAGTAGCAGGCGTAGCAGTAGCAGCAGTGACAGCCAGAGACGATGAAATTGATGCAGTTTCATTATCTGTAATAAGTGTAAGATCTATAATAGGATTAGATAAATCAGAATTAATTGAAATTTTATTAGTTGTTCTAGTACAGTCAATCATTGAATCCATTGTTATTTCTTGATTATCATCATTTATTGAAGAAATATTGCATAATTGAATTGTTGTAGCCAAGGGATCTAGAAATAGTTAAATACATTCACATGTGGTGTTATGGCAACACACAAGTATGAATTTTGTACTTTAAACTCATAATTTTTTTATTACTGAGTAGTGACTCATCAATTCTTCAGTCTATCTAGTATTTTTTAAATTCTAGTCGAATACTATAGATTAAGCTGCAGTGTATACGATAGGATCTGAACACTAAGGGACTAGACAAACATGCCATTGGTTACATATCAGCCAGTGACTAATCAGTTGTAAATAACTCAGTCGAACAGGTTAGTCGCAGTCTGAAACATTCAGTGGTAACATCTAAGGCTATAAAACTGGGGGATACGGGCTCGAGCTCACATAAGAGCATCAGATCCACCAGTCTCCAAATATTCCCTGACACGGCCTAGAGTGGAGAGTCCACCATTCTTCTCTACATACCCTCATATAGTCAGGGTGTGTAGCCACTGTCAAGAAAGTCCTGCTTACTGCCTTCATGTAGTGGGGTGCTGTTTAAAAAATTGAGGTGGTTGGGACATGTGTTACGAATGCCTAACCACCGACTGCTTACTCAAGCTCTGTTCTGCGATATAGGAATAGGTTGGACGAAAGCTAGGGGAGGCCAGACAAAAATATGGCAGAAATCCATGAAGTCACTGACAAGTGGAATGAGTCATGTTGGCAGATGTAGGCTACCTGGTCGGGGTCCGCGAGATGTTAGTAATCGAAGAATAGATACCCTGAATGTCATGGCTCAAAACTGTCTGCAATTGCGCAGGTGCATTTACTCTTTGTGTTCTATGAAATTCTAACCTTACGAATTCCTCATCACCTCTATCTTTTTTTCATAAATTCACCTCGCTGAATCATACTTCTTGAATAACATCTTCGAACCCTAATATCTTCGATTACTTCTAATACTTTCATTACGTCCACTACTATGGGATTTGAACTGACATTGGTGTCTCTGTGCTGATGTGGTATGGTAACATAGACTGCTGTAATTACGTACGAAGTTCTACGTTGTAACTAACTGACTAACAGACAAAATTTAAAGGACAAAAAACAAATTCCTGGATGCTTAAACCAGGTTGGCAGATACGGAAGATCTGCCTACGGCAGTTGGAAAACCATAATTCTAAACAAAGGAAAGTAGATGGTGTACATAGGCTCTAGGATACTCGTGGAACGAATGGCTTATGAATCTATTGTTGGTGAACGGTCAGCACGGAACTGTACGTTTGAAGAGTGGTGAGCTAAGAAAACCGCCCGTTTCAGTCTGGGCACTCAGGCAGTATCTCAGCCCACTCATAATTAAATTCAATGATTTGCGTTATGTATAAAATTTCGGAACCCCATTGTTTTTATTTAGATAAATAAGAAAATAAAATAATAGATTATTTTCAATGTGTAGAAAATAATAGTTCCCTAAAGACTACCTTGACGACGAGTGCTAATTAGCATATAATGTAGGGACAAGACTTTAACCGCTTCACTTACCAACAGAGAACTAGTTGTAGTATCTGGTTGCAAATGACCTAAAGATAAGTAAGACTGAAAAACTCCCGGCTGTACCTGTTACCTTAACGTGGTGGTAGGGCCGCTTCTTGTGGCCTTGCAGGCGTGGGTATACTATTAAGTCATAAGGCAAAACTAGCTCTCTTTGACTGGATCACGGTGGACAGTTGCTTATGCGCCGTTCGACTAAACGGGACGGTAAGGACTCGGAAGAATAGGGACTCTCGCTGGTGTGGGTATTGCATTGAGTCGTAGGGCAGAACTATCTCTCCCAGACTAGATCCAAGCAGATAGTCGCTTGTGTACTGTCCGACTGAACGGGACAGTAAGGACTCGGGAAGACAGGGAAACTCATCGGTGCCTCTTCGTCATATCTGCTTACACTCCCACTGACTGAAAACCAGAGGACGTGATAGATAAGTTTTATAGAAATCTCTCTAAACTTCTCCAAAATGTTGGGCTCTCTGATATAGTAATAATAGCCGGTGACTTTAATGCTCAAGTTGGTAGACTCAGTGAAAAGGAGAGACACCTGGGTGGATCTTATAGTGTGGTGGCTCAGAGAACAGATAATGGCGACCGTCTGATGCATCTACGAACAGATAATCGCATATCTCTAGCAAACACTAAATTTAAGCATAACGGAAAACATAAGCTGACCCGGTGACCACCGAAGCCGACCCAACGATGAACTCAACTAGATCACATTGCCATCAGCCACCGACGGAGAGGTTTGATAAAGGACTGTCATTCGTAATGGAGGACTTGTTTAGGCTCAGACCATGCTCTAGTGCGAGCGCGTAAATGTTTGCGTCTTATTGAAAATAAAAAAACAGTGCAACAAAACCTCTTAGGGATCTGTTTAATGATTATAAAGCTAAGAATAAATTTCAGTAACAAATAAAAAAACAGATTGGCAGCCATGTAATAAGTGAAGGCCATCCCGAGGCAGCTTGGAACGGCATCCAAACAGACATAGAAACAGCGGCGATAACTACCAGAAGCGTGAACCAGACAGAGAGATACAACGTAGAACTTCGTACATAAGTACATCAGTTCAGGTTGCCACACCACATCAACACAGAGACGCAACTGTCAGTTCAAATCTACAAATAGGGGTAGCGATAGTATAATTCAGTGAGATATATTTGGAAATAAAGACAGCGATTTCGAAGTATTCAGAAGGTTCAAGTTACAGAGAACAAAATGAGGCTGATAAAAAGCCATCGCAGTGATCGAGAACAGTGATGAGTGGAGAAATCAAAACCGATGGAAAAGGAAACGGCAATAGGCAAAAATTGACAACTATTCAGTCACATCAAGGAAAATCGTATTAGGAACCCAAATGTGAGCGAGATTATTCGGAGAACACATACTCTTATTATTCATCCTCAATCCAGGATTTTGGATCGATGGGCAGAACACTAGGGATCAGTTCAATTGGCCTTCAGCCACACTTCGGTTACCCACGATCTCCAGTCAACCTGAATGGCAAATCGACGCAAGTCGTCCGACTCTCTATGAAGTTGAGAAAGCTATAGGATAGCTGAAGTGAGAGAGAGCAGCAGGACGCGATAGATTGACTCCCGAGATTTTCAAGGATGGTAGTCCAGTTTTAGTAGCTAGATTGACTGAGATCTTAGGTAGAATCTGGGAACTGGGTGTAATGCCATCTGACTGGTCTCAGTTGCTGATTGTCCCAATTTATGAGAAAGGACAAAAGTCCTCTTGTTACAATCACAGGGCAATCAGTCTAACTAATATAGTTTCTAAAATATTGGCCCCTCAATAATACCCCGCCTCTTTACGAAAGCTCGTGAAGAGCAGACTAGAGAAAACCTGGACGTGGATGTATAGACCACATCTTCACACTCAGACAGGTCCTGGAACACAGACACATTTAAGTGTCCGACCTTAAGACAGCATTTGACTCTGTTGATCGTGAGGTTCTGTAGCAGTGTCTGTCATTGAAAGGTGTACCAGAGAAGTACATTAACTTTATACAGGCTTTCTACTCGAACGCCACTGGTCGAGTGAGAGCTTATGGCGAACTGTCATTGGATTTATTTGCTTCAAGTGGTTACCGTCAGGGATGTCCACTCTATCTATTCACGTTTAATTTAGTCGTACACATGCTTTTAGATACTACATTATCTTCGTCTGAATTTACAGAAGTGGACCTTCTACCAGGAAAATCGCTTGTTGACGTGGAATATGCCGATGACATAGTTCTACTTGTTGAAGGATGCTGACAAAATGCAGGGTCTCCTGACTCCGTAAGCAACAATGCAAGCATGATCGGGATGCAATTCTATCCGTCCAAATACAGGGTGTTGCACCAAGATTGGCTTGTGACGGCACGTAAACTAGTGATAGGGAGTGAAGCATTTGAGCGTGTTGACCGCTTCACTTATCTTGGGCGTCTCATCAGTGCTGAAGGCCTGGTGTGTGACGAGATCTCAGCACGGATACAGAAGGCTCAACTGGCTTTTGCCAATCTGCGTCACTTATGGCGTAGGCGAGATCTCCGTTTGCTGACTAAAGGACGAGTGCACTGCGCAGAATTTCGCTCCGTCCTACTTTATGGCTGTGATGTTAGGCCAGTCAGAGTAGAATATAATCTTAGGTTGCTTGTTTTCTATCATAGGTGTCTTCGAAGCATTGATTTTTCATCTTGTGATTATCGAATAAGCAAAGCAGTTTTAACTCCGCCGGCTTGAGGTCGGCGACCGCACCCCTAAAAAACTAATTCACTAGAAAACGCTAGCCAGAAAACATACTTCAAACCCTGGGAATTAGAAGGTCTTCTTCTAGAAGAATTATGACATCTCGTGATTGAAGCCGATTTCCTTCGGAAGTCACGATGCTGATTCTCCTTCTGACTACCAGAGCAACCATTCTGTTAGATACATGGATTCAGTTAATAATGATAATGATAAATTACAAAACTTGGATGGAGTAATTTCACCGACTTGGCAGCCAACAGCAGAATGGGTTCGTAGTTGGAAGTCCAAAATGCCTTTTCAGACAATTATGCGTTTATTACAGGTGTTAGTGCCCCAAGTTGAAAAAATCTGTATTGATAAGTGAGTTTTTATACTGGTACTATTTTTCGCTTTCTATGATCTTGTCATTAAATTGAAGTTGTTTTAATATATAATAGTAAAATTTGGTCAATTATAAGCAATGTAAAATTTGGCGTGCATGTACATCGATTCAAGTTTCCTTTATATAAACCTAAAGGAGACTTGGCAACGCCATGTTCGTCATAGTTGTTCACTTTCTCTGTTTTTATTTAACTCTTTGATGGATGTCCTTTTATAGGTAACGCTTTTATCGGTTGACTTGTTAATGATATATTATATAATATAGACAAAATACGGAGTCTTCTGGCTCTTTTAAGCGATAATGCAAACATTTTTGGGATGTGATATTTCTCTAAGTCTGACATTCGTTAATGCCTGATTTAATGACAGGAAGTGAAGGGGTTGATAGCGTCGATCTC